TTCCTTTTAAAAATGTCTGTATATTATAGATCTGGGTGTACAAGGCAATGTGTGCCTTGCAAAACAGTGATTCCTATGGGGGAATTTCGCTGGACAATGTTTGATCCCTGCTTCACAAACCAATTTTCGCTAGACAACCATTTTGACAGCTCCCTCCGTGCTCGCAAAATGGGTGTTTTCAGGACCTAAGCTTCACAAGACAGCTATCTGAACAGCTAGTTGGCGGTTTGCAAAGTGGCTTTCCTATGGCCGATCTTCGCTAGACAATGACGATTCTTCCCTATTGGAACACATTAAACAGGTTTAAATGCATTCCACTGGGGAAATGCTTTTCGCTAGATGATGATTTCGCTAAACAGCGATTTCAGTGGAACGGATTATCATCGTCTAGCGAGGCACCACTGTATTATGCTCACAACTTCCAGAATCCCAGTCCCAACATGACTAGGAATGTGCACTGTATATAATTGTATGCCAAAACAAGAACCACACCAGAGCTGTTTCTGCAATGCCATGCTAGGGATAGCAAAGAGCCCAGTGACACTCATGAGGTACAGCAAGACAGATCCTCCATGCACTTGTGAGATTAAAATGTGAAAATAAAAAAAGACAAAATTAATTTAAACACAAGGACAAATAAACTGAAAATATTACTATCTCATGAGAAAGATACTAAAGCAGTGCCCAGGAAGAGCTTCACTCCCCCATCCAAAAAAGCCCAAGTTTTCTCCTATATACTCATTGGGGCATTTCTGAGTAAGGTCAGTAGGCTATGGCAGCTGCTCACCACATTTCTACACCCATAAGCAAAGTAAAAGTGTGAAATGAAGGACATCTAAGAGTAAACTATATTGACTGGGTTTTACCTTTTTTCCCCCTTCTTTTTAAAAACCTGGCTGCACTAGTAGGACTATGGGTATATGTATGAGCATCCACTTCTTGTGGTTAGAGCAGAACTTCACTGAAGGATGTTAGAACCTGTCTTTCTTCCCCATCCTTTAATTTCTCCTCTTTTGTTGGTGCATTTTGGTGTCACTGCCAATGTGTTAGAAAAGTGGGAAACAGGATTGTGAAACCTCGTCCATCTTAGAATCAGGCCTGTGTGTTTCTAGCTGTAATGGTCAGGTTTTTGCCTAGCAACAAAGAAAATACCTGTCTCTTGTCTCAGGAAAAGAAGCTATGCTAGAGCAGCTCTTATTAAAAGAAATTATTTCAACTGTGTGTTGGAAGAGGGCAAGAAGCTGTTCTTGTCTTCTCAAAGTTTCTGAGAACAACAAAGTTTGATTGGTTTTTGGCATTAAATAATATGAAACTGGGAATTCTGGGGTATAAAGGGGCACAGAAGTTACTTTTAGTTGGTTTAGTTCATTCTAAGAGGATGTGAGTACAACTCAGTAGAGTTGTACTTTGTGTGTATTCCGAGACTATGTGGTCCTCTCTGCTAGTAATAAGTATTAGAGGGATACTTTAGCTGCATTATTTTCATGTGTGACCTCCTGCCTAAACCTGTTTCAAATTTCTTTTTAATATTTTTACTACTTTTTGGAACTATTTCACTTCTTGGATTTGCTTTAATAAATTTTTTTTTCACATAAAATCTTTTTCACATACAGTAAAGGCCTGGTTATTGAGTGATTTGTGGTACTAGTTACACCCTTCCCATGGAATGCTCACTGGGAATTTAGGTTTAAATTGTGTGTGATGGTAGCTTCTACCGTACAAGTTTGGTGAGTTAGATAAAGCTCACAGATTGGTGGATTTTTAGTTCCTGAAAAGTACACCTGAGTCAGGTCTGGACTAGTGTATGAGGAACTGAGATTTCCAGATGGGCTTTGTGGCTAGAACCATAGGCCATGATCAAGCTGCATTGTGCTTCTCTTTTTCTTGTGGTATCTGGGCTAGAGATGGACAAATAATAGTAATCTTAGAACTGCAGAGTTGGAAGAGACCCTATGGATCGTCAAGCCCAGCTCTTGTCAAGTAGGCACAGTGGAGAAATGAACTTCCAACCTCTGGTTCCGCAGCCAGATACCTGAATTACTGAGCTATCCAGCTGATCATAATCCTGCCAGAAATAGTTCTGATGGTGCTTGTGTAACCTCCCACCTGAAAATATAGCCATCTACATCTCCCCATTCACAGGAATTGACTTTTTAAAAGAACAGGAAACAGATAAACATGGACATAAAAAGAAACAACTCAGAGTGTCTCCAAAAATACAGTACAGTATGATCCTCATCTTTGGTTGGTTGGAGAGTCAATAGCCATTCCTGTCAATGTGTATTCTATTCTAACCAAAATATTCTCGATAATATATTCCCAGAAGCCTGTATTTTTATGCCTGAGTAAAAATGGGAAATAATGAGTCAACTCACAAAGCAAAGTGTGCTTATATACTGCACCATATTACTAAAAGCACTCTGTGGGTGGTTTACAATTTGATTATGCAGGTTACATATTGCCTCCCCACCCACCCCCACCATGACCTGGATACTCATTTACCAGTCTTGGAGGGATGGAAGGTTGAGTCATAGAATCGTAGAAAAGTGAAGTTGGAAGGGGCCTACAAGGCCATCTAGTCCAAGCCCCTGCTCAGCACAGGAATACAATCAAAGCATATCTGCCAGATGATTATCCAAGTTTTTCTTGACTGCTTCCAGTGCTGGAGCACTCACCAACTCCTGAGGTAACTGGTTCTACTGTGGTACTGCTCTAACAGTTAGGAAGTTTGTCCTGATATTAAACCGAAATCTGGCTTCCTTTAATTTGAGCCCATTGTTGCATGTCCTGTACTCTGGGATGATCGAGAACAGATCTTGCCCCTCCTCTGTATGAGAGCCTTTCAAATATTTGAAAAGTGCTATCATATCACCCCTCAGCCTTCTTTTCTCAAAGCTAAACATGCCCAATTCATTCAACCTTTCCTCATAATGCTTGGTTTCCAGCCCCCTGATCATACTTGTCACCCTCCTCTGAACTTGTTCCAATTTGTTAGCATCTTTCTCAAAGTGTGGTGTCCAGAACTGGACACAATACTCAAGGTGAGGCCTAACCAGTGCTGAATAGAGGAGGATCCCCACCTTGTGGGATTTGGAAACTAAGCCAACCTTGAGCTGGCTACCCAAGCCTAGAAACAAACTCAGGTTGTGAGGAGAGCCTTCACTGCAGTACTGCACTTTAAAAACCTGCCATGGAGCTCAATAAGAAAACACACACATTTCTAGCATTCCTGTAAATATTAACATGTTTAATTTGCATAATATGCAGATTAGTCTTCCTAAATTTGGAGAACTGGAATTTAGCAACCTTTTTAACATATTGTAATTTTTGTGTCTTTGATATTCATACTGAGCTTTGCAAGATTTGATGGAGTTTTATCAGTAAGTTGTCATAACAAACAGCTATTGAAATTTAACATTCATAGATTTTTAGTGGGCCATGAAGGGCAAGATAGATATGTCATCATTTATTTAAAAAAAACCTTTTATACTGCCTGACTAGTGCAAACCACTTGGTGGTTGAGACTTAAATTAAAGCAAATACAATGGTTATTAACCTTTTCTTTACAATGGACTTTTTTTACATCACAGACCACCAAGTTTTAAATTCCTAAAATGCATCAAATATTTATTTAAAGTTTCTCCCAAAGGATCTCATTGACAGATATTCCTTGCTATAACAGTGACACCTTTTAAGCTTACTGGAAGAAGCTTCATTTTGCTTTGAACAGGATGCGCCCTTATCAACAGCACCAGTTCTTTTACATTTCATATGGGCGGGATATACTGTAAATCAAATAAATAAATAAATAAATACATATTCAGCCACTGATCCATTCTGAAGCTCAGAAACGATGTATTGTTACGAAACAATACGATGTATTGTTACGAAATTCACTGCTATAATATCAAAAAGTCACTTTACCCGACAATAACCATATGGTTTTAATAGCAGAAATGGAAGAAACATGATCACAAAATCCATCCAAACGCTCACACTGACACTGATTGATTCTGACTTTCTCTTCCCATGGCTTCTGACTGTCTCTCAGCCACTCAGCATCATTCATTTGTATGTTCTCATCATGTGCAGAAATATCAAACAGTTATTTGCTATCAAGCTGTTCTTTTCATAACTAATTATTGATTTTATTTGTTTTTAATGAAAGCACTAGGCCAGAAAAGTCAAACTTTACACAAAGAAACAAGGGAAATTAAAATTTTATTCTACATTTCCTTTTCTTTCTTTCTTTCTTTCTTTCTTTCTTTCTTTCTTTCTTTCTTTCTTTCTTTCTTTCTTTCTATTTTAACTGCAAATTTCTTCAAACCTTTGTGAACCCCCTGTGAGAACATAGTGGCCTCCCAGAGGTCAGCGAATCACATGTTAAGAGCCTGTGGTATAATATAATAATGTATGAAAATAACTATAATAAAGTAAATCAAGTTATGAACTGTGAGAACGGTGGGGTTTTTTAAGAGAAAGCAGCAAACGTGGGCAAACTTGACCTAGATAGAAACTAAGATTAGGAGTGAGCACTGCTTTTTAAACCCACCTGACTACACTACAAGTCTACTGGAGGCTGAAAAGTCACACAGCCTTCTACTATATCCTCTTTTTAAATAAAAGTTACACAATTCTTACTTCGGTACATAGTGTCGTATCTTATTTGGCTCCTCCAAAAGTTCTTCCTATCCTGCTACAAGGAAACATACCATTAAAAATATATTCAATAATAATCAGGTATCTTTTTACTATTAAAAAATGAAGAAGCATTCCATGAATAAAGAATTCATGCACAAATTCACCCTTCGCAGGAGGAAAAGAAACTGTTAGGGTTTGGAGCTGTTCCTGCACAGAGCACAGGAATTTCACTCTCCATTAGCTAGTTAATGAGGAGTTCTCTGCCAGGGCTTCATGTCCAAAGCTTTGTGGTCTTTACAAATAAGCATGTTTTTTAAAAAATCAACAAGAAAGAATAATGTGTTGCAATTAGCACTTACCAGGGAACCTACTGTGGAGGTTGGCATCACAGTTGTACCCATTGAATTGTGCAGTCGCTGAGAGCAACTTTATGGTCAGCAGGAACAGTAGCCATACTCGTTCCATTGCAAAACCTAGTAAAACAGTTGATAGTTATTCTGTGCCCCTCTTTACTGTCTGAGAGATGCTAGTTGTAGTCATCCATCATCAGATGAGAAGTATAAGAATTCACAGCAGAACTGATAATCTGAGCATGATTTTAAAGCAGCAGCCTGTAGATAAAATACTGTCTGATAAGAAAATACTTACTAGAAAATGGAACCACAACAGAATTCTTATACAATATCTCTCTGTTCTTACCTTACGCATTGTGCCTTGAAAAAAAAAAAGGCACCTTACTGGACGTGCTTCATATGCTTTGTGATCTGGTACAGCTTGACGATGGCTGATATTCTGTACTTAATGCTGAGTCCGCATGAGCATCACTCTAAATTAAATAATCTTGCTTTTGTTTAGTAAGTTTCTTTTAGGATGGCATACTAAAGATAAGGATTCTTTAGCTGTTAAAAGATCTGTGCTTTTGGTACCTCTCTTTTTTGTACATTTACATCCGCTCTGCAATAATGGCAAAATTGCATACATTATGGTGTCCAATCAGTTCATAATCATTGAGTTCCCCAACTGTACATAATTGTTTGTTATTTTATGGCAACACTGGAGGAACTGGGAGCCATTTTCCCACTCCTAGGCCCACTGTATTTAATATCATTAAAATGAGAAAATGAGAAAAAAATGCAAAAGATCAAAAGCAAATGTTGTTGGAAGTCCCTTTCCAGTTTCATTTTTGTAGAGCTAGTCTTTTAGAAGTCTGTGGGGCTATTACAAAGCGACTACTCTCGGGATTTTTTTTTCAGTGGGAGTGCAAAAAGGCATTGGAGACTGCATAGATCCTGGACAAGACTTCACCTACTCTTGCACAGTTATCAAATAATATCAGAACAAACCTGTAACAAACTGGCTTTAATGATGAAAGTAAATACAGCTTTTTATAATCAAGCAAGAAAACAGTGATGCTAGGAAAACTGGAAGCACGTAGAAGTCCTAACATGAGATAGACTGCTTTAATAAAAGAAGCTGTGGCCTTCAATTTGCAAGATCTAAACAGGACTGTTAATGAGAAGACCTTTCTTATTTCTTACGTCACCATAGGTCAGAAACAACTTGACAAAACATACAACAAAGAAGCACCACAGCACTAAAAAAAATATGCAAGAAGCATTTGGGATGTGTGAATTTACACCGCCTTCCAATCTTCTTGTTGATCAACAACATTTTGTTGAATTGTGTCCACTGATACTTTTGAATTTTACTACAGTGTGACAATAAAACTATGTAACTGGCTTTTTGGGTTGCTTTTGGAAGTATCATACTCAAACTATCCACTCAGAAATAGGAATTGGTATTTATATCTATTTATTTCTATTTTTAAATGAAGTAGATTGAAGCCAAGCTTAATCGCACTTGGAGTAGCCCATTGAAAGCAATGTGAATTAAGTTAGTCATGACTCATAAAAGGCAACTCTGTTTCCTGCTTCATAATCTTCTAATTTTTTCAAAACAAAATTCTTCCCATCCTATTTCAATATCATTTGTGCATGTTGTTTAAGCACTCATGAAAATTTATGTGTACTTTCATGTACATTTTGTTGTGCACAAAAGTTCGATGTATTTTTGCATTCAGTTCTCCCTAATCTACATAATTTTCTTTCTTTTTTTTTGGCAAGCACTAATGTATGCATCTTTATACACAGCTTCTGAAGTAGAAACATTATAGCAAAATCTGACAAACATCCCCCGCTGACTTTAATGAGTCCACTGCAAGCATGACTACATCTGGACCTAACCCAGAATGATTATATTACTGACAGAACTGACAGAAAGATGCTATACTAATAGGAGTTACTAGTATTATTGTGTATTATCAAAATCTGCTTACATATTATTCTTAGCTGGTATTCCCAAAGATCTTGAAACACTTTTTTATGGTTCATCTTATTCTGTGTTCTTCCGTGATCTCAAGGTTGCTCAAAGGGTATTGAGATGAAATATTTGTGCTACTGTTAACCTTTCTTCCTGATCCTTCTTTAGGATTGTCTTTTAATCTCTACACAGCTTTAGCTCCTGCTTGATGTCAGAGAATGCTTGTGAAAGTTATGCAGATGTAGCTATAGATACCAAACTTCAGGTTTGCTTAATGCTTATGAGATTTTAGCTGTAGTTAGTATGGGAAACTTTTAATTTTCAGAATTGCTCATACCCTTCCTTTGATGAGAATGAGACACAATCAGATATTTTTAAATATGTGTTTTCAGAAGAAAATATATATATTCATTTTTAGGGGGAAATGCTAATTTCTCTATTGATCCAGAAAAGAGAAAGCAGTCTTGCTATAAATTTAATTAACCACAATAAAAATCTTCTAAAATTGTATTAATAGCTGCCAAATACACACAAGACAATCATTTTAACTTGCCTGTCATGGTTTGAAATTGGGTATTAAATCGTGTATTAAACTATGATAGGGATATATAAGAAAAAGTCTTGAAATTGAAAGTAAATTTTAAGGTGAGGCTTGAAACTAGGCTGTTAGTTACTATAAGTCATTCAAAACAGTTGACTAGGACTCAAGCTGAACAGGGTCACTCTACCATATCATTCTGACAGCAGAACAGTATTTTGGTTACAACCTAGAGGTGACATATTGAGATCTGACAGTCTGCACTCTTTGTAGTTTCAGTGCTTTTACACTATAGTAACTGGGTTTCTAAGAATTTAGGGTTTAAAATCTTTAATGGTCCCCTATAATGCCAAGCCTTGTAAAAGCATTGCCAAAATAACAAATGTTATCAATACCATGGTGACATACCAGATGTTAAGTTACAAAACTATAATGTTAGAAACTGCTGAAAAAATTGAAATTTCCAAGACTCCTAAGCCCCTGGATTTTCAACCCTTGAAGATAAAATTGTTTCAACTGATAAAAGTGATTGTAAAGGTATAAATAATTGCCAGAAGAGTTAGTTGAAGTAAGGAGCAAAGGATGTCATTAGAACACGAGTAAATGGCAGAAAAATTCAAAAATCAACGATTTTTTGTATCTTGGTGTGATTTCTTAATTGCTTATGCTCTGGTATAGTTTTTATTTATATCCGCTTGTAAAGATATTTTTCATAGATGTGACTTAACTGAGAATTAAACTTTCATAACCTAGAGAATATCTTTATAATACTTTTATTCTTTTATTCTTAAGTAATTTCAAGTAGTTTGTAACATTTAAATAGATTTATTATTTGAATTTTAAGCACCCTATTTTAAGAATAGCTACTGGTATTTTTATTTTGTCCATTAAGTTTTCATATTCTGATATCATTGTATTAGGTTTTGGATAATTTTTAAATTTTCCATTAGACATACAACTGTCTCTCCTAATTTATATTTGTTTGCATATACCTGTTCATTAAAAGGAAGAAAAATACAGTAAATACTTTTTTGGAAATTTACATGTCTTGCAAATACATTTAAAAGATATTCAGAAGAAAGGAGAATTATACAAGGTGCAGAATATTCCTCTGAGTCATACTAGATTTACCCCTTTTTGAAACATATACCATCTGTGAGGATAAAGGCTTCCTTTTTTTTCCCCCTGGAGGTCTACATAGTCTATAGGACTTTTAGGGAAAGTTTGGCATTAGTTTAGCTAATCTGACATGCTCATGCTGTTGAATTACTATTCGCCAAAACATTTTCTGAAAATATTAATTGACGAACTAGTTATCATTACATTTCCATTGTTAAAGAATTTACTCAAATGTTTTGCTATACCCAGCACAGAAGTTTCTAAAGGGTTTATGAAAGAATATTAGCAGGTTCCTAAGTATATTTATTTAGAATAAATTTCAGTGAGTTTAATAGCACTTATTCTTACTAAAGAGTATTTAGGATTATAGCATTAATCCCCTCTGTGATTTTGTGGTGACCTTTCCCACAACCGTAAATTAAGTGGTTATATTTATATATAGTGATAGTTGTTTAGTTGCACACATAATCTGAAAAGGAGCAAATGATGTTCTTAGTAGCAATAGCTTACATACGCATACTTATCAAAGAATTTTCTTCAAACTTGCAATAAGCTGATTACTTTGGAAAGCAAGAGAATCGTGCTTTTTTTTACTGCAATTCTATTTCTTTTAGGCTGTTTTCTAAAATGTATGTGGTCTTTGGAATCTGCTTAGGTTGCAAGATCCATTGAAAAGGGTCTGGTGCATGTGAAGATCCCAGAACAATTTCTTAAATCTATGGGGAAAGGGTAAGGAAGTATTTCTGCCCCAGCTGCCTTTATCTCTGATCTAGATAGATCAGATGCAACAGGAATCTTCATATTATATTTTATTATGTTGTATAATAATATGGTAGTGCTATATAATACTATGTATTGCTGATGTTCTCCACTTCCATAGTTTGATGCACATTAAAGTAAATATTATTTTGCTTTAATTATTCTATATTTGGAAGTGAAGAGAAAGATAAATATAAACCGTTCATAAATGAAGATAGTAGTAATTAGATCATAGTGCAGCCTCCTGCCGTCAGCTTGAATATGAAAGCAGAATTACTTTATTGCTTCAGACCCAGTCTTTTTCTCTGTTCATCAGAAAAAAGAAATTAAAGAAATGTGCAATTTGCTTGCAATATAATGCAGCCTAATCTAATCACAAAAGGTTACATGTACCTTTTGCTATATAAGGTTTCTGGGATTTCATTAAGCAACCATACAAAATGTCATTAGTTGCGTAAATTCTTATATTCTTCCTGTTTCCAGATTTTTTTACTGAAAAAGCAGCAGGAGGGAGAGCCAAAATTTTTGGTGAAATGGAAAAAATAGTTTCTTTGTGGAATTCATTTACTGTATTTTGAATCTCACTCGGTAATCATGCTGGACTAAGAAATTTTGAAGTCATTCTGGAAGCATTTTTTGAAATATGCCTTCTCTAGTTTAAAAGGGGGGAAATGGGAGAAATGCACCATTTGCTGTAATATATTATTTTATCCAGAGTAAGAGTTAGGTGAGG